GGGTATTCCGGCCGAGACAGCGCGTCCAGCCTGATACTCAATAATCCCGATTTCCAAAACAGTATTCCACAGGTAGGTGGGCGTGGTCCGAGGTCATTGTTGAAGTGTTTTTTTGTGTCTTTGGTTTCATGGTGATTGCGGTATGTTTATGATGTGGGTTTATAGAGGTGGTTGGAGTGTTTTGTTTTATTGCGTGTCTGGGTTACTTGTTGAATTATTGGTGTGGATGTTTGTGATGATTACCGTGTATATGTATGTTTAATCAGATACTTATTGGGCTATTTATTATTGTTGCATGTCTGGGATGCTAATTGAAGTTAATTGTTTATTCGCTAATTTCCAATAGAGTTTCTCCTTTTGCGGTACTTGGTGACATTATTTTTTGTTTATTTGCAGATTCTAAATTTGACGGAGTCGGTCCACCAGGCGCAGCAGCACGTTCAGCAGCTGTGGCAGCACAAGAAGATGAGGCTTGACCAGTGCTTCCAGCTCAGACTCTTTGAACAAGACGTCGAGAAGGTGCGGAAGAGGGGCCGCCGCCGTCGCCCGTGCTTGCTTTGTTCTTTTGTTTTGTTCTTTCTGTTGTTCTTCTTCTTCCTTTTTCTCCTCCTTTTCCTCCTCCTTCTCCCCTCCTCCCCTCCTCCTCCTCCTCTCCTCCTCCTCCTCCTCCTCCTCCTCCTCCTCCTCCTCCTCCTCCTCCTCCTCCTCCTCCCCTCCCTCTCCTCCCTCCTCCCTCTCCCTCCTCCCTCTTCCTCTCATCATCTTCCTCCTCCTCCTCCTCCTACTCCCTTTTCTCCTCCTTTTTCTCCTGCCTCTTCCTCCACTTCCACCTCCCTCCTCCTCCTCCTCCTCCTCCTCCTCCTCCTCCTCTCCCCTCCTCCTCCTCCTCCTCCTCTCCCCCTTCTCCTCCTCCCCTCTCCCCCCCTCCCCCTCCCTTCTCCTCCCTTCTTCCCCCCCTTTTCCTCCTCCTCCTCCCCTCCTACCTCCCTTCCCTCCCTCCCTCCTCCTCCTCCCTCCTCCTCCTCCTCCTCTCCTATCTCCTCTTCTCCTCCTCCCCTCCCCCTCCTCCCCCTCCTCCCCCCTTCCTTGAACCTCCAGCTCCACCATCTCCTCCTCCTCCTCCTCCTTCTTTTCCTCCTCCTCTTCTTTCCTCTCCTTTTCTTCTCTTTCTCCTCCTCCTCCTCCTCCTCCTCCCTCCTCCTCCTCCTCCTCTCCTCCTCCTCCTCCTCCTCCTCTCCTCTTCCTCCTCTTCCTCCTCTTCCTCCTCCTCCTCCTCCTCCTCCTCCTCCTCCTCCTGCTCTTCCTCCACCTCCACCCCTATTCTTCCACCTCTTTCCTTCCTGCCCTCCCTCCCAATCTCCCTATGTCTGATCTTTGATATCCATTCCCTCATTCTTTCTCACTTTTATTCCATTATTTTTCCAACTTAAGTTAGAAGGAAAAGTAAAGTCTGTTTTTGAGGAAAAGAAACCATATTTAAAAGTGTTTTGGTACTTTTGGTACTTAAACCATATACCTGATTGTACATTGTATCAAATATTGTCACGAATCATATGTATTATATCATAGATTAAGTATAGTACAATGATATTTATTGATCGACATAACAGATTAACATTCACTGCTTAATTGACTGGCTATATGTCAGATTTTATTGTTTTTAGTTCCCAAGTTGATTACTGATTTGAACTTCCAGATGTTTGATTGGGTGTACCACAACCGTGAAGAGTTCCTAGTCAACTACGTAGAAATAGGTCATTCTTACCAAGTATCCAAAGATCTTCAGGAGGCTCATTCTCAGTTCACCGTCGCCTGTCAGGTAAGAATGGCTGGCGGAAGCTGTGCATGTCTTTGGGTAGGGAGTCACCAGCGGTCAATAGAGTTATAAACAGATAATGACTGTTTGCTTGCAGGTTTCTTATTCTCTGCCTTTTTGATGTCATGATTATATTTTGTTTTGCTGGTATGTAAATGAATCCTTATTAGATATTTAATGCAGAATATATAGTTTTACTACTTTGTAATTATATTAACTATCTTATTGATTTATTTGTGTAGTATTAGGCACATTTGCAAAAGAAATATAATAAAAATCTGATTTCATACTGTTGAGTCTGCTTACTTGTGACATTTTATTTTTGATTAATACAAATAGTAGTGATAGTGGTTATCGTTTATTTTTTTAATGAATCAATAGCAAGAATCTTGAAATTCCAATCTTTTCCTTCACAGAAAGTGTATATGAACATCAATAGAATACTTAGTGTGGCATCAAGACTCATGGAAAGTGGTCACTATGCAGCCCAACACATCGGCAATGTAGCATCTAAACTGGATCAGGTATGTTACCTTTTTTCCCCCGTTCAGAGAGGAGTATGAATGAAAGATTTTTTGATGGTTAGGAGTTACTGAAAAGTGTGAAAAGGAAAAGGAGAGAATGGTTAAAAAGGAAATAATTAAGTGATACAACTTGGAGGAATGGCAAGTGGTATGTTAAGTGAAATTAGGGAAAGAGCAAGTTTAGAGAGGAGAAAAGCAGGGGAAAGAGCATTGGAGAAGAGAGGAAGAGAAGTTAGGGAACAGTTACAAAGGAAAACAAAGCATAGAAAGAACAATGAAGAAAAGGGAATGAAGTTATGGAAAGAGCAAGTGTAGAGGGGAGAAGAGAGGAATAGAAGTTTAGGAAAGAACATGTGTAGAAGGGAGAATAACAGAGAATTTATGTGAAATTAAGTAAAGAGAAGAAAAGGGATGAAATGGTAAGAGAGGAACAGGTATAAAGGTCCTTTTGTGGAGTGGAGTAAAAGAGATTGGAATGGAGTGAAGGGCAAAAGTGACATGGAGTGGAGGAAGTGGAGTAGTGTTATGTAATATGATAGCCAGGGTGGATGTGGAGAGGAAAGAAAAGAAATATAATAGAAAACGTAAAACAGGGAGAGCTGGTCTGAAGATATCATTATATCATGCTGATCCCACAGATTCTTCCTTCTAAATATGGAGTTTGAAATAACTGAGTTTGTTTTATTTTCAAATGTCTTTTTGTTGTTGTTGTTGTTGAGTTTATAGTTATGCATGTGAACCCATGCATGTTGAGTAACCTTTTATTCTTTTCCATTCCAGGTTTGGAAAGAATTTGCTGCAGGTCTGGATGAAAGATCATCTGTATTAGCGCTATCGGTCATGTTTCACCAGAAAGCAGAACAGGTAAATTCTTTGTTGTCGTAAGCACAGTCACAGTTTGGAAGAATTAAGATATGTTATTTATATTCAGTGTTACTGCTTCATCATTTTGCATGCTCTGTAAAGGATTGTATTTGCCTTTTTTCTTCTTCTATTCCAACAGTAATTCTCTAAGAAAGAAGGTTGTACAGAATGGATGCTTTACAAGTGAACTTTATATGGAAAAAAATGTATAACATATTTGTCTTTGTGAAGAATGGTTATTAATCATCAATTTCATTTCTAGTATATTGAGAGTGTGCCAACATGGGTAGAGAACTGCAAACTGACAGCATTACCCTCTGACATCCATACATTGGAATCATCAATCCACCATCACCAGTCACTCTATGAGACCATGTGCCAGGCATACACTGAGGTAAGAAGGTTTGTGGGAAGTACCCGTTAAGTTTTTTTTTTTCAAGTGTTTTAAAGTTTATTTCTTTATCTGTTATAATGAGATGAAGTTTTTTTATTTTGAAATTGTTTTGTCAGAATTAATATGTATTTCTTTTAGATCTCACATACAGTACATATTATTATGTTTCCAATGGATTCATAGTCTGATTTAATTTTCAGTGATGTTATTAGATTATATGTCAGCATTATATGGGCTTTTGAATTAAATTTTCTTCTTATATTCAGAGATAAAGATTGTAGTTGTGATATAATAATTTCTTCTCTAGAAGTATATGATATTCAGTGTAAGACTCCAAATCAAGTTTTTATTCCATAATTTCCAATATGCATTTGTGTGTATGAAAATACAGTCAGAATTCAATTTCCTTCAGTGACTGTATTTTATGTTTCAAAATGACTTATTGTTAATTCTTATTGGTCTGTTGTTTTCTGGTAATGTATGATATTTCTTCTAATGATGTATGAGATCTCTAAGTCTGTATCTGCCTGTTTGTATGGTTTAAAAGAATTATAGATACTTATTTTTATTCATATGAGTGTATTCTTTGTATGAGCAAAACAAAGTCCATAATGTTGTTTTTCAAGATGATGTCATTCTTTTGTTTGTCATTATTATTTCTTTTGACAAATGTGTTTTTCTGTGAGTATGAGCAGCATGATATTTTTTCTTCATTACTGTTTGATGTTTTATACTTAAACAGTACTTACTACTATACTGTTACTCTTTACATTAATATTATTATTATTATTGCAACAAATATTGCAAGTCACATAATCATTATGATGAGCATTAGTTCATGTGTAATAACCAATTTTCACTTTCAGCTGCACAGCGCTTACCAGTCGCTATTAAATGGCCTGGACTCTCTTGTCAGGAACGTTCATGCATCCGTGGAACTGTTCCCAGTAGGAAGCTAATCCATTTTTTTGTTCAGACTGGAAGCATGAGAGGGCAGGAGAACATGTGGGCTTTTGGGTCATTTCTATGAAGAACAGAGAGCAGCCAATAGCCTGTCTTTCTATGACAAGGAAGATGTTATATTATCTTCATTTGTAGTTAGTTCACCTTCTTGAATAGACTTTGTTGGTTGCCTTCTGGGTCTTACGATGTACAGGTGTACCATTTGTCATGTAGGTGGAGTTATTGCCAAAGTCATTTATACTTAGTTATAAAGATTTGTGCAAAAATATGCAATCATTCTCAAAATAAACTAAATATTATTACTTTGCATGGAATTATGATCACTGAAAGAACAGTTTTTCAGACAAAATAATTTTTTGTAAATACTTTGTAAATGATACTCTACCTACAAGACAAAAAAAGATAGAGGAATACAATTATTCCAAGCTTCTGGTTCTAGAGAAATTTTACAGCATTTCCCATTCCCCCTTTAAATCTCATGATATGTAAACAGAACGGACAGGTGATTACATAAACAGAAGAAAAAAACATGAGCATGTTGACTTATGCTTTCATGTGAGAGGCAAGGCATCGCATGGAGCTCGCATCCTGAATTCTTTCTTAGGCTTACATACAGTATACTTGGTGAGTGGAAAACAAATGAATCCTAAGGATACATCACATTTGTTCCTGTCTTAGGATGGACAGGTTGATTGTCATGTACTTAATCTCTCTTGAGGAGTAAGTATTTTTCATCCCACAAGGCAGATGGTGTTCAGGAAGATGCAGCATTTCTAAGGGCTTGTTATAAGAGTCCATTTTTTTAAGTGTTGTCATAAAAGTGTTCACTAGTATGGTTATCCGAGGGGGATTCTGTTAAAGGATTTGAATTCATATTACTGAGACCCTAATCTCATTTTCATGAAGGGTTACAAAGAACTTTTGCATGGTCCTTCTCGGATAACCTCTCAGTGATGCTTGAGCTTGTCCAAGGGCATAAAGATATGGTACCCTAGACTAATGGTGGTGGTTGGTGATGGTTGCAGGTTCACAGTACCAGCAAGAAACTCCTCTACCAGCTAGACCACCTGGTGCAAATTTGTAGCCAGCTGAGGCGCGATGGCCAAATGCGCAGCAAGCACGTAAGCATAGGATGGGTCTTGCATGGGGGTCTTCCCTCTTGAGCATTTAGGCATGAGAGCAGTAGATGTGCAATTAAGAAGTTTAAAAAGATAAAATTTCTCTAAATAGTTCAGGTATAATTGTGATTGTTATGATTTTTTTTTTCTCTTTATTATTAATTTTGAATCAAAGGGGTTTTTCAATTGCCTTCATTGGAAAATAGATTTTACAGTACCTGAACTGATATTATTGGATGGAGAGTAAAGGAAGAGATTACAGTGTTCTCTGTTATATTTCTTTGAATTTGAAGGAAAAGGAGGATAAAATTTCAAGACATGTTTTCTTCTATAAACTGCAAGTTGTCATAGATGATTAAGATCTTAAGTGAAACATGTTATTAATTAAGAAAGCTCAGTTTAAGGATACAGGATGTTCAAATGATATCGAAAAGCCCCTTTTAGCATCCTGAGAAACCTCCCCATGCCATTTGCTGCAAAATAGTTTTATAAATAAGCTTTTTACCTAGTAGTTGTGGTCTGAAGGGATATGTTATTACTTGCTGTGCTAAAACTTCTGCCAGTTTCTTGATTTTTAAAACATTGTTGACTTGATAAGAAGAATGTTTTTTGCTAGGGTATTACGTAAATGTTTTATCTCATTATGTGTTATGCTTGACTATATTTTTTCTAGATGTATTTTTTGTTATTCGTGCATCACAGTATTTGATAAATGCATAATTAAACAATGTTTGATTATATTTAGAGTAAAAAAAAATCCAGGAATAGTTGAGATTTTGCATGAGTACAGCCATTTTTTTCTTTTTAAAATTGTTTTCTGTTAAAATTTAAAATACTTGTTTGTTAATCAAAGGTTGAATGAGAATCATTAAAGAGAATACTTAATTAAATACTTGTTTCCAAATGTTTTTATTTGGTTCTGAAAGTATGAATTTGCATTCTTTATTACCATACTCAGAAGGATTTTCTTATTTCTTTGTTGATTTTCTTTCCTTTATAAAAAGCACTACAGTATTTTTTGCTCATGCTTATTGTTTTTCCTTTTTTTTCTCCAAAATATGAAGAAGAAGCCCCGGGGAAAGCCATCAGCCTATTCTGTAAGTTTAGATTTTTTTCTTTCATAAAGAGTACAAAATATTTAGTTTTTTTTTTGCATGTGGCACAGAGGTCACTTTTTGAACAGTTTATATTTTATTTAGATGTCCTTTTTAACGTCTTAAGAGGATTTTTGTAGCTTCTTTTTCTTCTCTCCGTTCTCAGACAGAAGCTCCCTGTGGCTATTAGGCGAACGAGCCTGAAATATTATGGATGATTATCACCACCGTTGTTGTTGTTCATTTACTTCCTTTTTGTCAATGATAGAAGAGGACCATGTTTTTGCTAGTAATGGATACGAGTTGAATAATTTTTGTTGATAAAGCAGATTTAAAAGTTGAATTATTTCTACTGATTATACATATATGTGATTTTGAATGATAACGAGTGATCTTAAGTATATGTGAGTTGAATCATTTCTGTTGATAGTATGTACATATATATGAGTTGAATCTTTTAGGCTGATAATTCTTTATATGAGTTGAATCATTTTTGCTGATGATATATGCATTTATATGAGTTGAATAATTTCCGCTGATTATACATGTATATGAATTGAATCATTTCTGGTGATAATGAGTATATATGAGTTGAATAATTTTTGCTGATTATACCTATATATCAGTTGAATCATTTCTGCTAATAATACATATATGAGTTGAATAATTTCTGCTAATAATGTGTGTGAGTTGTATCTTTTCTTTATGGATATTTGGAAGCTAAAGAAGACACTGGAAAGCTTGGATTTTCTTTGGATATTGTTTTACTTTTTGTAAGATTTCAACTTCTTCACTGAATTGTTATAATTATTTTTATTACTTGTGCTTCTGTAGGTTTATTGGCTTATATGTGTATCATTTGCTTTGGACTCATTTGTGTATCATTTGCTTTTTGCAAATAGCAGAAATATATTTGTTTTCTCTCTTGATTTAAGAGAAAGCTTTGATTCTTTTATAAGATTTTTTTAGGGCATAAATGTTTTTTAAATTGGTCAAAATAGATGATTTATAAAACTTTTGCTGTTTTGATATGCCTGTGTAAGTGCAATTTGTCATAGATTTACATTTTATGCATGGGGCACTGGCTTTTCTGGCATTTGAAAAATAAAAGAATTATGAATATTTTTTTCATATGCATATATCTGCTATCTTGACTAGTGCATTGTTTTAGAAGAAAAAAAATATGTTTTTAGAGTATTCAGTTTGCTTTCACTTTTAATGCATTGCTTATTTCATAGGAGATTTGGGATATGATTATTTTAGTGAACATACACAGTTAAAACATGTCTCAGCAAGAGTTTTTGATAGCTGATATATATTAGGACTGTTTGTTAGAAAGATCAAGCAGTATTTTGCTCTGCCAGCTTTAGCATAGAGGATATGAGTCCAGTAAATTGGCTGATAAAATGTAGCATGTTATGTTAAGAAACAAAATCTAGGAAGATGTATCCTGATTATCCAAGAGCATTACAAAATTTTGAAGCGAAATGAAGAGAACAATTAGATATTTCCATAGAAGCAAATAAATGGCAAATTATTAGCATATGAGAAGAAATGAAAAAGATCTTTTGATTGGATTTATTTATTGCCATAGAAGAGTGAATATACTAAAATAATATTATGGTAGAATTAATCTAATAGCCTATTAGATGTCAAACAGCAATATGTTACCACAAAAGAAATGTTAGTGAATTAAAACCAAAAGGGAAAGAATGTAGTAAAAAGTAACCATATTTGCCGAAGGTTAATATGAATCAAACATCATTTGGTAGTAAAGTTTAGATTTATTGCCAGAAAAAGAAGAACTTTAGAAAAAGTTAATGTTGGGCATTTTGTCCTGGAAACCATTTTATAGTGAAGTTTGGGATCAGAAATTATTAGCAGACATAACCAGGATGATGATGTTATTCAAGATATTTAGAATTTATACTTTGCCTTGTGCACACAATGCTTACTTTATGGTGGAATATTTCCGATATATCATTCACAGTACTTCTGACTGGCTTTTAAGCTTTTTGTGTGTGAAAGTGTGCTAGAAGAGACATTGCCAGTTATAGCCTGAAGAAGGAAAAAATAACATATGTCCTTGTTCCCTTCAAAAACAGGTTACTCCTGATGGCAAGGTGGTCTACCGAGGGGGGCCACAACAGCAACGTGGCCCTGGGACAAGTGGAAATCCAGCTGCTGATTACTCTGAAGGTGCTAGTCATGTCCTGGCGGTCATTCATGAAATCTTGGCACACCACCGAGCTGTGGAGCAGAGGTGGTCAGCCAAGAAGCTCAAGCTACACCAAAGATTGGCACTCAGGCTGTTTCAGGAAGATGTCAAGCAGGTAAGTGGTTGAAAAAATTTTGTTGTTGATTATAATGAAGAGAGATAGTAAACAAAAGTAGAGCACAATCATTAGATGATTTTCTTATAAGTGAAACCTTGCATGTTGGAAGCAAGTTGGATATGCAAATCAATTTTTACATAATGTCTAGTTTTAACAGATTCCTTTTCACCCTTCTTCCTAGGTGCTGGATTGGCTGCAGACTCATGGTGAAGTATTCTTGCGGAAGAATCCTGGCATTGGACGTAATATTGCAAAAGCCAGAATGTATCAGAAGAGCCATGAGCACTTTGAAAATGTTGCCCAGGTAAAAATTTATGCAAATATGTTGTAATTAGATCATCTTCAGTGGAGAGCTATTTACATAATAGATTAATCTACATAGACTGTAATCCTTTGATATTTTGTTGTCCATCAGGATGCATGTAGTCAGTAACATCTTTTTTTTTTTTTCTAGAATACTTATACAAATGCAGAGAAATTATTGCAAGCAGCAGAAGAGCTTGCACATACAGGAGAATGTAATCCAGAAGAGATATACAGTGTGGCCCAAACACTTGACTCGCACATTGCCAGCTTTGCAGCAAGAGTCCAGCAGCGACATCGGCTGCTCAACATGGCTGTCTTGTTTTATACTCATGAGAAGGAGGTGTGTCTTATTCTTGCTTCAGTTAGTTATTTGTCTGTCTTCGAATCTGCAGACAGGGATTTTTGTCTCGATTGAATAAAAGACAATGATTTGTTGTTTTCAATAATATCAATGATTAATTTTCATGTGAAGTTGTTTTTATATTCTTTTAATAATTATATTCTTTATTTATATTACACTATAAAAATATATTTAGATTGTATAGCATAAGGGTCTTGGATCATCTATAGATCAGTCATATAACAAGCTGTATGTAACAAGTATTCAGCAAAAAAAGAAAGAAAAAAAAAAAGAGACTAATGATTTAACACATTGAACAGCTTTTATCATGGCTGGAGGAGCTTAGTACAGAACTAGAGAGTGAGGAAGGTGTCGACGAGGCTGCAGATTCGGTGGAGGCTTCGGAGAGAATGCTAGCTCAAATGACCACGCAGCAAGACTCTACCCTGGATGCATGCGTCTCCACTACTCATGAGGGAGAGGGGCTCCTTAATGAACTCAGGTATGGCATTTTGGCTGATAGTGTTCTACCCCGATAAGTTTTTTTGTTTTTCCCCTCCCATATTTTTTGTTACTGATATATATATTTTTTCTATTTTAGTTTTTGATGTAGCATTAATTGCAATCTGTCATTAAGATTTCTTTATCATTGCATCATTAAGATTTCTTTATATATCCAAATAAACATAAGTAGAAATTGTGATTTTATGTATGTCTTTGATTAGTCATATATGCATGTTATACCTTAAGATGATTTCTTGATTTCAACAGGTCAGCAAGTGTAACTGCCGACTCAGGATGTGGCTCTGTAGAGGGGGTAGAGGAAGCCCTTGAGCGACTAGTCAAGAAACGAGATGAATTAGAAAGCCTTTGGGCCACTCGGAAGCTCCGCCTCGATCTCTTGCTTCAACTGAGACTGTTCCAGAGAGATGCTGTGGAGGTGAGGAACAGGGTTTTTTTTTTTTTTTTTTCTTCTTCCTCTGGTTCTTACTTTCTGTATAAAGAGATTCCAGATTGAGTTTACTTCTTAAGAAGGAAAGACAAAAAATAATTCATTGAATAAAGATTGTGATACTTTTGGAAGTTCTACTGTTGAAGAAATAAGGAGAGTGAATACCAAAATATTTAAAGTAGTAAACCCACAGGAAATAATGATATTCTGGTTAACCCTTAGAATAGATATAGTTGCTTTGCACAATAGATTTTTAAATTATCATTGTATTAGATAGATGATGTGTTTCCTTTTTTATCATAATGTTTTTTCCATCAGCTCCTAAGCCAATTAGACTTGTGGGCCGAGGAACTACAGAATACAGAGTTTGGGCGAGACATCACAGAAGCAGAGCAAATGCTTGCTCTGCACAATGACTCTACGTCACACATGCAAAATGGCACTTACCAGGTCATGCAGAGTGGTCAGGAACTTTTACAAGTAAGTTCTTACTCTAATATTTACTGGTGTAAAATAAAAGTATTTAACCATTTCACACTGTTGGACATCTAGTCACATCATTGCAAACTAGGCCCAAATGTCAGGTAGCAAGTATTCATGACATGTATGGTTTAGCTTGTTGTAAGTGTTGGGCTAAACAGTTGTGGTCTTGCATGACCCAGACTGCAGTTATTTGACCAGTTAGTTAGAATTGTACAAAGCCCGACCCAAAGCATATTCTTTATATATACATGCATTTACACAGAGATGAATACATATCTCTCAGTCTAGACATGCATATCTACGGGATAGATAGATAGATGAATGTCTACCTATCAAACAGATATTTATTGGGTCGTGCCTTGCACAATTTTAACAAACTATTTCATTGAATTGATGCAGTAGGCTTAAAGTCTCTTTTAGCCTCATTTCCTTAGAAAATAATGTGTCGCAGCCAGAAGCAAAGAGAGCAGGTAGATATATATTTCACTTGAATGGCTGACTGGTTGGTGCGTGGCTCACTACGATGCAGAGAAATTCTAGTGTGAATAGGTTAAATTTATGTTGTAGTTTGTTTCTGTGATTGTTAAGTTTTGCACATAAATTCAATATGATATTAATTTCCACAGTTACTTGAGACATCAGGCATCCAGATCCGTGCTGATGCAGAGTCTGATGGCACCACCAAGGTCTCCATGCTCTTAGAGTGCATCAGAGAGCGGCAGATGGATGTGGAAGTGCTAGTAGACATGAAGAGGGTTAAACTGGAGCAGTGCATCCACCTGCTGCAGTTTGAAAATGAAGCCAACCAGGTAGGTGTTGGCGTTGTTGTGATGCTGGGAGTTGTATATCTGCCATTTTTTCTTTGTTTATGTAAAAGACTTTGGTGTTTATTTGTATTTTCTTGCTTGCAATGACTTGATATTTGTTGAATTTGGTAGTTTTGATTGTAGTATTTATATATAGCTCATTTTAAAACATGTATAACTTTTTTTCTTAGGTGATAAGTTGGATACGGAATGGAGAGGCTGTACTGGCAGCAAGTTTCACCATCCCAAGCTCTTTGGCCGAGTCAAATGCGCTATCACATGACCATGAGCAGTTCCAGGTAAGCTGAAACAAAAAGCTGAATATTTGTGACCTTCATTTGAATAAATTTTGTGAGAGTTTCTTCTTCTAGTGATAAATGCCAGTCTCCAATGCTTTATACTTCTTAAATGAAATAGAATATAACCCCCAATTTTTTCTTGTAATCTTTTACACAGGTTGCTATAGAGAAAACCCATGCTGCTGTGGTGCAGACTCGGCAGCGTTCTTCAGCTCTTCTCATGGCTAAGCACTACAGTCCAGAACAAGTCATGGAAATAGAATCTAATGTCACAAAGAGATGGGAAAAGCTTGTTACTTGTGCTGAGGATAGGTCAGTATTGTCAGACGTGAACTGGTGTTCAGATGAGGGAAATGGGTGCTGAATTAATAAGCTGAAGAAAATGTTGTTAGTACTTTTGAGTGGTATGTGTTTTCTGTATAAATTTATCTTCAGATCGTAAGACTAATTCACTATGTCTTTTTGAAATTCAAAATTTGCATTTTTGTATTTCTAGGTACAAGCTGGTCCAGGCATCAATCACGTTTTATAAGACAGCTGAGCAAGTGTGCTCTGTACTGGAGAGCCTTGAACGAGACTACCGCCGTGATGAAGACTGGTGTCAGAAGGAAGTGCCTCCGCCAGGCACCAGTGTCAGTCAGGGAGACAAACAGCAGGATCAGCAGCAGCAAGGAACTGGCCAGGGAGGGCAGGCAGGCTCAGACAGGGCTGCCGGAATCTCACTTATCATAAATAAGCATCAGGAGCAGAAAGAAGGCTTCCTCAAAGCTTGCACCTTGGCCAGACGAACAGCAGAGACCTTCCTGAAATACGCCAACCGATCTCAGCATTATTACAGCATGAAGGGTGATGTGGGATTACGAGGGCCGGAGGCTAAAGTGAGAGGCATTCTAGAGAATCTCATGGCTCAAGAGAACAAGGTGCTTGACCACTGGACCCAGAAGAAAAAGAAACTGGACCAGTGCCAGCAGTATGTGTTGTTTGAGGGATCAGCCAAGCAAGCATTAGACTGGATAATGGAGACAGGAGAGATGTACCTGTCCACTCACACAAGCCTAGGAGAAACCAAAGAAGAAACTGAGAAGATTTTGAAAGAACATAATGAATTTAAAGGAACAGCAAAGGACACAAGGGAACGTGTAAAATTACTATTACTCCTGGCTGACTCCTTGGTTGAGAAGGGCCATGCACATGCAGCAGCCATCAAAGACTGGGTTGCTCGTGTTGATCAGGCCTACAAGAACTTCTCGGGTCGCATGGATAAGTACCGCATGCAGCTTGAGAGCAGATTAGGAATCCAGAGTGAGGATAGCAAAGCCTCTCTTTCCTTAGATCGTCACAGTGACCCCTCACTTGAAAACAAAGTTCATGCAGTTGTTACTGTGGCAAATAAGGAGATGAGTGAGGAAAAGCGTAAATCTGCCAGAAAGAAGGAACTCATCATGAGGGAATTGTTGCAGACAGAAAGAGTGTATGTCAAAGATCTGGAAGTATGTACAAAGACTTACCTCTTTGAGACACGACAACCCTCTGCCCCAGGTGGGCTTCAGGGGAAAGATAGCATCATCTTCTGCAACATGGAGGAGATCCTAGAATTCCACAAGAACACATTCCTCCAGGAGATAGAGAAGTACCAGTGCATGCCAGAGGATGTTGGTCATTGCTTTGTGACTTGGGCCCCTCAGTTTGACATTTATGTGAAATACTGCAAGGCACAGCCAGAGTCCAATCGCATGCTAGTCAGCCATGCCGGGACCTTCTATGAAGAAGTTCAACGTAAGCACAATGTTGAACACCCCATTCCTGCGTACCTGATCAAGCCAGTTCAGCGCATCACCAAGTATCAACTTTTATTGAAAGAATTACTCTCGTGTTGTGAAGATGAAAACCAAGGGGAAATCAAAGATGGTTTAGAAGTTATGCAAAATGTTCCAAAGAAGGCGAATGATGCCCTCCACTTATCCATGCTTGATGGCTGTGATGTTCCAACAGACTCCTTGGGAGAAGTCATTCTGCAAGATACCTTCCAGGTAGGAATTAGTTTTGGGGACAGGGATATTTATCATATGAATATTGCAAATCATTTGGTCTACATCATCTGTTACTTACTGAGGTGGTAGTGTAATTGAATTTTTTGTCATTGTTGATTCATTCCTGATTATGTTTCCATCAGGTGTGGGACCCTCGCCAGCTTATCAGAAAGGGTCGAGAGCGGCACATTTTCCTCTTCGACTTGTACCTGTTATTCTGCAAAGAAGTTCGTGATCCTAGTGGCAACAAGACCAAATATGCATATAAACAGCGACTGGTTACATCTGAGCTGGGTGTAACAGAGCACATTGAAGGGGATGAGTGTAAATTTGCTGTGTGGACAGCTCGTACAGGAGTTAGTGATGGCAAGGTATTACCTCTTCACATTGACTTATTTAATATTTGTTATTTATTTAGGGATTTCTTTCATCCATCTAATGAGTGATTATATTTTTAACCAATCACTCAAAGCACTATGCAAAGTGAAGAAATATATTGTGCAATGCTGTACCTGATTGTATGATGATATAACTGGATAGTGTTAAGGAGAAATGAGAAGTACATTTGCTGAGGAGATTTAATCAGTATTTCCTCTCATGATTTTTACTTAGATGATTCTGCGAGCCAACACCCTGGAAGTGAAACAGACGTGGGTTAGGAAGCTGAGAGAAGTGATACAGGAGACTTACCTCAGCTCAGCTCTTCCCCTCACTCCTGCAAAGTCACCAGCCAAGACACCAAAGCAAAACCGAGCCAGCAGGTATGCATTTTTTTTTGTTTGTTTGCAAGGGATCAACATAGATTTGTTTTTTTGGAGCTGTTTTGAGATACTTTCCTGATGAATATTTGGACTGTACTAGAGATAGGGAGAATAATGGTGATTTTATAGGTGTACCAAATTTTATGTATATACATGTCTAGTGTAACTGGAAAGTAGTCCAGGAAAGTTTTGTATATTTGGTGATAGTACATATTTTAGGTGTACACTATAACCTAAATTACATGTGTCACTCATTGTCCTAAAAAAAGAGAAAAAGAAAGCTGTTAGTTAGTTAATTATTCTGATGAAGAAGTGGTTGAATGATGAGAAATAAAGAGATATTGCTGAGATTTAATGAGCCCACCTCCTTCATCATAGGGACTTGGAGGAATCCATCGACGAGAGTGCGGAGAACACAGACCGCAACTCATTGGCATCATATTCGTCCTCAAATACAGACTCCGATAAGGTAAGTCTGAGATGAGGCATATTTTTCTTTCTTCTTCTTTGGGGTTTTCCAATTTTACAAAAAAATGGAAGGAAAATCTTGTGTGCCACTTTGGAATTTCTTGGTTTTGATTTACCAAGAGGAATGAATAACATTTGGAAGGATGAAAGAGAATGTGAATGAGGCATATTTATGAAGTTCAGAATCCATGACTTTGATGACTTTGGAATGCCTTGTAAATGTAAAAAATGAACTAGGAAACTTGATGTATTGGGTGGCTGAAGACAAAAGGATAATTAATGGTTTAGCAAAAGGGAAATGGAAAAATAAAAGGAGTCGATTGTGGATGCACAATAAGGCATGGAAATAGTGTCATTGGTAAGAATTGTAAGAGGATTTGCAAAGGGGGAAATGTAAACATGAAAATCCCATGGAAGTAATATTGTACGGAAAGAGACTCACTGTATTGATGTGCTGGGGAAAGAGGTACCAGGGATTATACATGCTTTAGGATTACCGTTGTGTTATGGGATTGCTGCTGGCTTTCATAAAGTATGGCTTATGAAGAGATGGCAATGAGGTTCTAGAAAATATGCAGCAGTAGAGGTAGCCAGATTTTGTTAGGTCCCATTACAGTGCAGGTGCTGTGGTTGGGCGCAAGATATTTTGAGACTGCAGGAGTGTGCTTATACATTACTGTGTATAGGGAATCCAAAGATGTGTTGCAGTTGTTATGTTGTGTTATGTTGCAGTAAATGGTAGGAAAACAGGAGTGAGTGATATAAGTGTGATGCTGTACTGCTATTTAAGACATGGTGTAATAGTATAACAGGGAGTTATGATAGTGCCGATATGTAATAACACAGCCATGGTGCTCAAATGTAATAAGGTTGTGTAAATAGTACAAGATACCAGGGATACCAGATAAGGTGGTCCTTTATTGCCAAATAGAGTACGGGGATTTAGTATTCACTTATGAGGAAGGAGAGGGTGGGGGAGGGATGGGGGATGCCATAATGGGCGACGTCTCTCCTTAAGCGCATGCTTGAGGAGAGGCATGTTGGGGAGGGACATAGGGCTCGGATGGAGGGGGGGGGGAGGGAGGGAGTATTTGCGGAAGAGGAAAAGAGAGGGTGGGGACAGGGACGGGGTGGCGGGAGGGAGGGAAGGTCACGGGCGAGAGGTGCCAGGTAGAGGGATCGGCAGCGGCGCGGCGGCGGCACTTCACAGGTGCCAAGAAGAGTGTAGTACCGGTAGGCCTATTTCCAACACAGGTGGTTTGAGGGGGTGGGGGCGGCGACCGGGTGAACGAGGGGAGTGAAAGTGTGGGAGAGTTAGTGTATGAGGTGCGGCATCGGGGAAGTATGAGGGGCGTTGGAAATTATGAGGAAGAAGCTATCAAGTAATTATTTTAGAGAAGGAGGAGGAGGGGGGGGGAGAGGAGAGGAGGTCGAGGAGGTAAAGGAATAGATTGAGAGAGAGAGAGAGAGAGAGAGAGAGAGAGAGAGAGAGAGAGAGAGAGAGAGAGAGAGAGAGAGAGAGAGAGAGAGAGAGAGAGAGAGAGAGAAGAGAGAAACAAAGTGAGTTGGAAGGCCCATAAGAACAAGGTAAATTTTGCCAGCTAGTCCTCGTGGGCGTGTGATTTGGGGAGAGGCCATGGGGGGGGGGGAGGTGCCATGAGGGGAGGGATACTATGAAGAGAGAGAGGTGCTATGAGGGGAGAGGTGCCATGAGGGGAGGGGAGGGGAGGAGGAGAGATGCCATGAGGGAGGGATGCCATGAGGGGAGATATACTATGAGGAGAGGTGCCATGAGGGGAGGGACGCCATGGGGGGAGAGATACTATGAGGGGCTATGAGGAGAGAGGTGCCATGGGGGGAGAGGCCATGAGGAGAGAGATGAGGCCAGGGTGGGGGAGAGTGCATGAAGGGAGAGATGAGGCGGCACCGTCATTAGGTAGCGGTGGGTGAGGGTCGCTGTACGGCAGAAGGGATTCAGGGGACGTGACAAGGGAGCGCTAATGAGGTGGGTTATGAGATGAGGATAATGAGGCCTTATGGGGACCAGGCGTGATGAGGTCATTTTCGGGGGCGAGGAGGGCTTGTATGGAATGAAGGGGGGGGGGTAGTAATGAGGAATAACGAAGGGGGATAAAGGAGAGAAGTGCGGAGGAGGCAGCAGAACGGAAGAGGTGGGAGGGACATGAGAAGGACGGATGATTAGGAGAAGGATGGAATTGCGAGGTAAAAGTAGATAAGTTAATCGAATGAGATTAAAGGAAAAATGATGAATGGAGTGGAATTGAAATATTCCAAAGAAACAAATAGACAAACTGTAAAGTAAAAGCAAAAATAAAAAAGATGGACGAAAATAAGACCGTGACAAAAAAAGGGGAATAGAAGGAAAGGAAAGAGAAAGAAAAAAAGGAAGCGTGAGGTAGAGAGAGCAAGACAAAAGGGAAGCGAAGAGCAGAAAGAGAAAGAGAGGTAGGGAGGAGAGGGAGGGGGTAGCCGAGAGGGGAGGTGGCAGGGGGGGGGGAGAGGGTCGTGGCCTAGGCGAGAGGGGAGAGCCCCCCCCCCCCGCATCTTGGGGCGAAGACAAAGATGGCAAGCGCGGATTATTGAATATGGAGAGAGAGGGGGCACGCGAACGCACCGATGAATGCGAAATTAGGAGAGAGGGAAGAGAGGAAAGAGGGAGAGGAGGAGAGGGAAGATGGTATGGGGGAAGAGAGAGAGAGGGGGAGAGGGAGCAGGTGCCGGGGAAGGAGGTGGAGTAGGAGAAGGTGTGGGGAAAAGAGAGAGAAGAGAGAGAGAGAGAGAGAGAGAGAGAGAGAGAGAGAGAGAGAGAGAGAGAGAGAGAGAGAGAGAGAGAGAGAGAGAGAGAGAGAGAGGGAGGAGAAGAGGGAGGAAGAGGAGGGACGAAGAGAGAGAAAAAAAAGGAGGAAAAGGGGAGAGGGGAGAGAGGGGAAGCGGTAGAAAGAGAGGGCGTAAGGAAAATGGGAGAGAGGAAGAAAGAAGGAAAAGGATGAAGGTGAGGAGAGAGGGAAAAGAGGAAGGGTGTAGTGGGGAGAGTGCGGTGGAAGAGGAGAGGAGAAGAAAGAGGGGTATGGTGGAAGAGAGAAGGAGAGGGATGGAGAGGATGGAGAAGAGAGGGAGAGGAGAGGGATATTGGAAAGAGATTAGGGAGAGAGAGAGAAAGAGGGAGAGGGAGAGAGAAGGGCGAAGAGGAGGAGTGTTGGAGAGTTGGAGAGTTTGAGGGTCGGAACTTTTCACGAGTTGAAGGATTTCAAGGTTGAATGAAGTGGACGAGGAAAGATGGTTGGGAAGCGATGGGTTTGTTTTCGTATCGTCTATCCCCCCCTCCCCTCCCTCCCCCTTCCTCTCCTTCTCTCTTGCCTTCTCCTCCTTGCCCCTTCTCCTTCTCTCTTCCTTTCCCCTCCTTGCTCCTTCTCCTTCTTCTTCTTTTCTCTCTCTCCTCTCTCTCTCCTCTCTCTCTCTCTCTCTCTCTCTCTCTCTCTCTCTCTCTCTCTCTCTCTCTCTCTCTTTTCTCTCTCTCTCTTTCTCCTCTCTCTTTCTCTTTCTCTCTCTCTATCTTCTCTTTCTCTCTCTCTCTCTCTCTCTCTCTCTCTCTCTCTCTCTCTCTCTCTCTCTTCTCTCTCTCTCTCTTCTTCTCTCTCTCTCTCTCTCTTCTCTCTCTCTCTCTCTCTCTCTCTCTTCTCCTCTCCCCCCTCCCACTCTCACTTACCACTCATTCCCCCACTCTTACCCTCTTTTCCTTCTCCTTCCCTCTCTACTTCCCCCCTCTCTCCCCTCTCATTCCACCTTTGCTTCACCCGACTCTTCCTCTTCATCTGTCATTCCTTTTCTCCCTCTCACCCTTTCTTCCTCTCTCTCGTTGGTTTTCTGTTCACCTTATCCGTACTTTCTCGTATCCTTAATCTCTCAATTTATTTTATTCCGGTCGGCTGTGCCCTCCACCTGTTTTCCCTCCCTTCCTCCACCTTTAACTATTCACACACTTTTTTTTCCTCTTTCTTTCTCCTCTCCACCCCCTCCCCCTCGCAACCGGCCTCTTTCTTCCTTCCACTCTTCTCCTTCCTCTTCCTCTCCCCTCCCTTCCCTCCCCTCCCCTTTCAACGCACGCTTCGCCGTATTCTGTCTCCCTCCCTCCCCCCTCCGTCCCTCCGTCCTCCGTCCCTCCGTCCCTCCCTCCTCCGTCCCTCCCTCCCTTCCTTCTTTCCCACCCGTCTAAAACTTCCCTCCTCCCCTCCCTTCGCCCCCTCATCCTACCCCTCGTCCCCTTTCCCGATCCTCTCCTCTTTCCTTGCATCCCTCTCCCAAATCTTACTGTCCCCCTCTCCCCACCCTTCGTCGCCTTCTCCCTACCCTCGTCTTCTCTCCCTCTCCCTATGCCCCTCCTCTTCCCTCCCTTCCCTCACCCCTCGCTCCCCTCTCCCTTCTCCTCACCCCTTCTTACCCTCTTCACACTCCCCTCCCTCCCCTCCCTCCCCTTCCCCTCCCCTCCTTTCCCTCCCCTCCCTCGCGCAGCACGTAATATGCGTGTCACTTAAGGTGTCATCCCTCGGCGGCTATCGAACTGGGGCGCGCGCCGGGGTGTTTTTTGTGGCGTGTCTGTGTTGTTGTACTTATCCACCTCCTCTTTGGTGCGTGACTCCCGAGTGAGGAGCTAGGGGAGGTGGAGAAGCAGGGTGGCTGGGGAAGGGAGTAGCTGGGTGCGCTGGGAAGTAGGGAGGCCAGGGTGGGCGGGGGAGTACGGGGAGGCAGTGGCAGCGGGAGGGGAGGGGAGGAGCGATGAGCGTGGCAGGGGAGAGAGAAGGTAGCAGTGTGGGCTGAGTGAGTTAAGAGGGGAGGATGGCTGGGGGACTTATGGGGAGCAGGTGGGCTGGGGGAGTAAATTTAAGCAGGTGGGATGGTGGAGTAGGAGAAGGCAGGGATAGCTGGGAGAGGGAGGGCAGGGTGGCTGGAGGGAGAGGGAATAGCTGGGTGCTGGAGGGGAGT